AGGAAAGTGTTCAGAGTCTCTACTGTCTCATGAAGGTGTACCACATGAGCTGTTCTTTCACCTCTTCTTTTCTATGTTTTTTCTGCATGATGTGCCATCTTCCACAGAAAACACTTTTGTGAAATATGCGGATGATTTCACTGTATGTATGCCTATCTCTTCCTCTTTACATCCCATAGAAATGAATGAGTTTTTGTCTCGTATTGATTGTTGGTCTGTTGGTAATGGTCTCATACTTAATCCGTCTAAATGTCAAGCTGTTAACTTTAGCATGAGACATGAACGGAATCTAAACACCATTTTGAGATCCCATATTGCTTGTACCATTGGAGAATGTTTGATAAACACAGTGACGAAGGTCAATTATCTTGGTGTTACCTTTTCCTCTGATCTCTCTTGGTTTTCCCACATTTTATTGTTGTCGAAGAAGGTTTTCCGTCTGACTGACTACATAAAGAGATTGCATGCTCTTGATATTACTTGTCGTTTACTCTTACAATTTGTCAATTCTTGCATATTACCCATTATTCTTTACTGTTCTCCATTATTCTTTCCCGGGATTTTAAGAAAAGACTTTGCTGTATTGCAGAGAGTGTTGAAGGCAGTTAGCAATTTGTGTGGTGATTCTTTCGAGGTCATAATCAATATGGTTGTGGATAGACATCTAAAGTCATGCAAACTCCCGGCAGGTGTTATTTTATCAGATACTAACCACCCCCTTCACTCTTATGTTTCTCCTTGTATATCTCCCGGTAGAACGAGACGTAATTACATTAAAATCCATGCACGCAAGCAAAAGTATAAACGTTCTATAACACCTTACTTAGCAAATATACTGTGACGAACAGGTTGTTAGAGTTAACCTAATTAATATCCTGCATTCTCGAAATGTCTCTAATTTTAAAAGTTGTACAGTTTTTCGGTGTTTTTTGAAACATTTTTTATTCATTTTTTGTCTTTGTTAATGTTTTTTACGTAAGTAACTTGTTGAAATACCTTCTGCTGAGAATTCTATATTGTACCAAAACATAGTATTGAATAAAGCCATTAATAATAATAATAACAGTAAATTCACTCTCTAATTCGCCATCCAGTTTTAATACTCCAGCTGACGAGTTTTTAGAAGTCTTTATAGATGATTTTGCCGATGTCTTCCCAAGCAGGTTATGCACTTCTCTAGACACTAAGATGGCATCCTATGCCACCTCAGTTTGAGGATCTGTTGATGTGATGTTAATTTCGATAACGACATACTGAAGAAAATGATTTAGATTCAGTTGACTTTAACTCGTGTCGAGGACATCTATTTTTTTCTTGGTCGTGCAAGTGCGACTAGATGGACAGTGACCTACCTGACATTTATGCAACTTAAATAGACAGAATCGCATATTATGTCAAGCACCGCATAACCAACAGTCATTAGTTCGTTTATTATGAAGTTTCCCGAATATTCTGAGGTCTCAACCCAGTGGTAGAACTGACATCATTGAAGATTATCTGCGGATTTACCTGCTCAACCAACCCATTGTCGTGTCTGTTTGTTTGCAGCCGTTTGCATTCGCATGTAAGTGTCCCGAGTGTAACGTCTGGATCTTGATCCAGCTGGTTTCAAAGTCTAGTTCTAATCTCAGCATTTTGTGACGACTGAAGAGCTTTGATGAATACTAAGCACTTAAATTGGTCATCTGTCGACTAACGTAACTTGAACCGTTTATATTCTGTTGACGGCATCTGCTAGAGCACTATTATCATCAAGTTCACGTCTCATCAAATTTAGACGCTTTAAAATTATATGCTAGCTATGGCAAGATACTTTATGCAAAGACGCACTTCCGACCAGTCAACTAATACAGTGAGATTAAACAAACGTATGGCGCACTGGAATGTGTTTTGCTTATAAAACAGGTCGATCCGACATGTTAATCTTTTCCACTCAACCTCATCAAGAGTATGACAACATACTGTTATCTTATCTACTCCGAAAGGATGGGAATAATTCGGGTCATATCCGAAGACTTACCACGAGATCCCTTCCAGATTCTTTTTCAGATTCAAGGAAAAAAATCAGCGAAGACCTCACAATGGACCCAAAAATTATAACCACATGAAAATGTTCTCTGAAACCTGTTATTTTACTCCAAACAAAAACCACGAAGAGGATACGATAAAATAAAAAGCTCAACATAGCCGGCTTGATTGTTGACATACCCATCGCGCTTCGTAATTAATAAACTTCTCTAACCCTACACTGAGTTAAAGGTCGGAAAGATATCTGTGGGATTTTGTGAGGGAAAATTCTTATCTACTGCTAAAAACTAACCACGACACAACTTGTTTAGATCACCTTATATATCCAGGACCCTACTTGAATTTATCAATGACTAGCTTGCATAGGGGATGGGAACGTGTTAACAAAAGCTTCTTCCACTACTATGTTTACTCATTCGAGCTATCTGATGGATGAGTAATCTTAGGAGACAAACAAAAACTAGCTGACGCGGTTATCATATATGTTTCGTGCCTCTAGGTAACCCTCGTGATATTGATAGAAGAAACCAGACAAGTAGTGAATAGGTCTTTATTTAAATCTTCACGCAGTCACAGTGGGGCGTTGGAATTATTTGTTCAGACAAACAAAGCCTCTCAACATTCAGTATACGATAATAGGAAATATAACGCCTATACAAAATAAGGAAGTGGATGAATACTTGAAATATACTGTTTTGACATATGCTTAGTTGTTTGAGGTGAACTCTTAACCAACCAGCCTAAGCTATTACATATGTACAAGTGTGATATGTGAAAAGGGCAACGAGGTACAACCCGGACTATAAATCATCCTTACTACATCTCACGTTGACAGATCATGAGAATGACTTCGCAAACCCCCATTATATGTTACCCCTAGGTAAAGATGACCATGTAGCTCTAGCCTTTGATTTCCATATAGTTGTCAAACACGAGTTTGCCAGTCCAATCCAGACCAAACGTCTGGTGAGCAAATATGCGACATGTACATTTAACGTCCTCAGTAAACTAATCAATAGTGTCAGGGTCCCCATTTAGAACGCATTTGGATGTATTCAGAAATTTAAGCACAAAAGTCACTGTACCACGAATCCCGTAGACTGTACCAACGAGTTAGAGAAATTCCACACCGTGATTTAGAAGAAAGGTCTGTGCTTTTCTCCGTAAGAGGAGAAGAATGTGTGAGAGACTCAGGTCACTGAGATGGAAAAAATCAAATTATCGGGAGGCTTGAAATAATAGTGCCTCGACCATCTGGAAGTTTACAAGGTTGCAGTAAGAAGAACTTGGTAAGGAGTCTATAGAATACCCTAAACATTTATATTTGTACACAAACCAATTGATTAGGAAAATAGGAAATATTCCAATATTATGGGGAGATATGAGTGTAGCGTCATCAGTAGAAGAAGATTACAGTAAATCTCAGCCACTCTCAAGTTACTTTAGCAATGTATATAACGTAAATATGCTCTCCTCTTCATTCCTTACGAGCCACACACATTAAACGCTGTGACCACTGAAGAACTCGATATCTTTGGTCTGCTAAATGACCTTAATATAGGCAAATTCATGCAACCCAATGAAATACATCCTAGGTTATTAACAGAACTAGAAATTTTTGTCACGAATACCTTCAGAGTAATTTTTACTCTATCTGTAATCCGAAGTGGATTATCGAAAGACTAGAATATGCTATAGTAAGACTTATCTTCAAAACAGGTACAAGCGTGGTTGTTAGAATCTTAGAAAATATTGCTTGGAAGGAACTGTCTACTTATCTCGAATAAGGTCGAATTTTTTCGGAAAAACAGCGTGGTTTTAGAGCAGGGTACTCACATTATTAGAAGCACATGAAGGTTGATGCACCTTTAAAGAACAAAAGTTATCTAAAGGTGTAGCCTATACTGACTAGAGCAAGGCTTTTGACAAAGTTCCTCACAACCAGCTGCTATGTAAGTCAGGTAACATTGGGATTAGAGGCATTTTATTTATTATGATGGAGAATATCCTAGCTGGGCACCAACTAAGAGTACAGGTGAACTGAAACTTCTCTAGCTGTAAAACTGTGTTTAACGGAGTGCCTTAGTGTACAGTTATGAAACCATTGTTGTTTCGCCTGTATGTAAATGACCTTCTTAGTCCCACATCATCACCGGCCTTTTCATATGCTGACGATGTCAAGATATGGAAAGCGATAGAAAATAAGGGTGACTGTTAAGAGCTGCAAAATGATCTACAGAAATTACCAGAATGGTCTAGAATACAGCAGTTGCTGATAAGTACATCCACGTACATTATGATCTATATTGATCACCGGGCACAGAGACATATACGATGAATAAAACTGAGCTACATATTATCCGAACACACAATGATCTATAGGTCATCGTTGCCTGGGGCTTAAAAACTATTCGAAAGTAATTAGTTACTTTTATAAATTTTGATAGAACGGTTAGATCTACTCCGTCTTGTAGTTGCTCTATGGAAATATAAAAACTACTGTCACTGCCATGATATAGCCACTAAAAGGTTTGGAACCCTGTGGTTCAAAGAACCGCGACTGAGTCGAGTCCCAGAATGGCGAACGTGCCGTACAATACTCGACTGGCTAAACTAAACCTATTTCCATTGTCATATAGAAGAATCAGAGGTGACTTGATCACAGTTTTTAAATTACTTAGTGAAAAGTTTGTATTTAATATACTCTCATTTTCCTCGTCTTTCTGAATATAAAATTTACAAGGACACTGAAAAAATTCGCAATCCCAGAATGAATTACTTAGCATCTGACTATCGAATTTCTCATCGAATCATCAACGAATGGAATCCACCACCTCAACACGTGATTGAAGTTCTACTTGTCTACGCTCTCAAAAGCAAACTAGATCAGCTGAGAGATCACCATCTCCAGGACAACACTTGGCCACCTAGCCTGTCCTTCCGAAACCGAAATTGAATTGAGACTGAATTGCCGAGCGGTTAGTTTAGTTTTCATGTATACAGAAGGTCATGGTATGTTGCAGTAAGCATTGTGGTTGTTCTTTCTTAACGTATGTTCAGTGATGTTAGTGTAACTTCGAGGTAGAGTGTCCCAGTCGACTTCTTGATAAACGTTTCAGGTTACAGTCTCGAATATGACCCGTTCTAAGAAGACCAGGAAGATAAGACTTGCTAACACACAAGTTGTTATTTGAGGTACGGGATATGTATATGAGATCACTTTGTATTCTATGAAAAAAGAAGAGAATTATTTGTTTTGCTCGGTCACAGTAAGGTTGTATTGGCACCATTTGTCCGCTCAATTCTACCACTTAAATACTCAATATATTTGAATGGATCACATTTAGTAAACAGAAGGCAATAAAATGATAACTTGAAGTCCTATTAAAGCACGTGATCCATCTATGTGCATAGCAATATTCACTGCTTTCTGAATTCACTGTTATCGGACCCGACTCATGTGCCTTGATATACGATAAGTTTAACCATTTGACAAATGGTTAATGGAATTGCCATATCTCAAACTCTTCTTTTAATGTTTAGTCGCTCTCTCGTTTCAGATGAAAATTAAAAGTGCAGCAGTCAAATCCTTTGTGTCTACTATCTTAGTATCATATAGTTCCCGTTATTTCGTTGAATTCACTCGATCGTTTTGTGACCGTGTTGAAATTCTTGTCAATACTGTTATTCATTCCGATTATATTCTGATTCACTGTAGTGTTATTTAGAATTAGTGTAGAATTAGGTTATGCAGGCTGTATGGCATGTTTTAATAGATTAATTTAAACAATTATCGAAATAGTGAGTTAACCTGTTAATAGAGGACATTTTGAAGTAATTGAGATTTAAGTTGCTCGGAAAATGTTTCGATCTGAGATTACAGACTTCCTAGTCCCATCTGTACCTTTCTGTAAAAAGATTCAGTAAATTCTTAGCACTGAACTGGCATCCTGAGCTGTCTATTCGACTACGAAACATCAACAGTGTGCTGACTTGAGTTTTTTTATGTGAGAATGGGATGTAAGTCCAAAAATAAAGCACAAGTGCCTAGATTCGAATTATAAGCTGTTGTTTAGCTGCCCAACAACTGATGGGTTGTGCTTACTACAAAATCCTAAAATTCTGGGATCGGTATTCTGTGTAATGTTGAGGAGCTCCAATTTGGACCAAAACGTCCACCCGGTAATTCTTAATTTTCATTGGTTTTTCATTGAGTATCAGTTTATAGTGAAAAAGTGCTCACTTATCAGAAGGGTGTTGCTAAAGAACCCGTTTCGGTCTGGGCACCCAGGCAGTGTTACAGCCCACACACAAATCAAGTGACTTGTGTGGCGCATATGTATTCGGTGCCCCCTTTGTACCAATACTCATATGTTCAAATAAATAAAATGCTTAAGATTGATTAATTAGCTTCTTAGTGTTTTTTCCATTTTTATATCCATTTACCTTTTGTCTCGACTATAGCTTCCACTTAATTTCAGGGCGTGACTAATTTATGGACGACCTTTGAACGAATCATAAGTGACCTTGAGAAATATTAGCCAATCAGCAAACAGTCAGTACAAAGTAAAAATATGTTATACAAAACCAAGGAACTAAAGTTTATACACTTCTTATACGTGGTTCAAAACCTTGTCAAAGTTAAAAAGAGGTTTAAAGGTTCTAAAATCGTAATACATGCAGTAGAGGAAATCATCCATACGGCTACAAAATAGCCGGCCTCTGGAGCCGTGATAAAGTCTCAAAAACTCTTTCAGCCTCGACCACGTAGCTTCAACATTGTTTAGGTGCACTCCGGTTGTTGAGTGCACAAAATGCTACCTGTGGATAACGACACGATGCATATAACCAAGCCTATGTAGGAGTCTGTACACTCTCCAAACATCAGTATATATTGTAGTACATAGCTGCAGCCAGTGTTACTGGTGCTTTTATTATCCAGTTCGTAATAATTGTCACGATTTGCCTTCGGAATTATATATAGGGTTTTCATCACAAACTGACATCAGCTATAATGCCAGAAATTTATTTAGCCAAATGGATGAAAGGCTTCCGCGTTAAAATCCGAAATCTATTATCTTTTACCTGATTGATTCGTCCATAAATTAAAGTTGAACCGTTTTATTTGCTATAGCCGCTCAATTATCACGTTTTTTACAAAATTCCCTGTAAATCGATCATACGTTAACATTAAGCACTGAAGTTGGCGCCGTAACCTTGAAAGCTCTAAAATGCCTCTGATTCGCTCGTCCATACATTAGAGTCTCGCCAAATTCAGTAGTCAAACGTTCCCATTGTAACTATCTTATAGAGATAAGTGTTGATTATTTGAACACAAGCACTGGTACAAGGGGGCGCCAAATATATGCGCCACACAATAAGTCCAGTAGTAGTTATGATTGATTTTTGTGAGGACTGTGATACTGCCAGGGTGCCCAAACAGAGGGAGGTGGTCTTCTTAGGAGGTCACTCCCCGAGCCTTTAACCCAAAGGTCTAATCCACAAGGCAGTGGATCAACGTTAGGAGATGCAGCCCAATCGTAGCCAGTGACCAACAATAGGTTCATACACCATTTGTTCCTTCAGGATACTGGAGCCCATGTGCACCATTGGTTTGGAATCAGGATTTTCCAACTCCTCTAGTTGGAGCTTCCATACCCAATAACCCGGTTAAAGCACTGGAGATTCGCTTTTCGTCCTCTCAATCCCGTAAATAACACCCCTCCCACAAGGAGGTAGTGAGCAGAACTTCCCTGGTAGTGGTTGTTTACGCGTGGTCATGTGAGAGCATTTCGTGAGGGAGAGCTGACTCTCCCCCACTCGGCCGTACCTTGTTTATTAAGCATTGTTATAACATGCATATAAGCTGAAAAAGTAGGGACGATTGGAAAATATTTGACTTAAAATCAACACCTCAAATCACAAATCTCTAACTCCATCAGTGAGCGACCAAAAAGTATCAACTTCCCAAAATGCAATAAATCAAGTTTGCACGTTTTATCTGTACTCATTTTATATCATTGTTGTAGAAAATAACAAACTTAGTTTTAGTTTACTTATATATATGGTACCGCCGTGTTCTCAAAAATATATTGTTTATGTGGTTAGCTTGTCATTGCTCTATTGTCCTTTTTTACCCAAATATTCATCGACTGAGTTTGTGAAGCCTAGTTTTGTATCATTATAACTCGGGTTTTCTTTAAGGCTATTGTCAATAGAAAGAAGACATATGCCATCATTCGTGCAATATACAATCATAGCCACTCTCCTGAAGACTTTGAACGTGAATTAGATTTTGTACTAAGTCGTAAAGTGTGTATGGTCATTATTGAACCAGAATCTCTCGGTGAAGTAACGTGGCGATGGATTCGTACGGGTAACTGGTTACATAAAACAGCTGTTATATCAGGTAAGATTTTTAGCATTTTACCATCATCGCCAATTATAGTTTCATTGTATATTTTTTACTGCATTCGAAATAATGAAGTGCCTTATTTACTGATAACCGTCTACAAAATATCTCACCTTGTTTCCCGAGTTATGTGTTCCGAAAGCTACTGTTCAAACCTTTATCATCATAGTACAAGATTACTTCGTAGGGATTCCCCCCACTCAATGCTGAATGGGAGATGACTGTATTGTGTACATCATATGCCTAGGATCTGTTTGTTTGCTAAACGGAATCGTGGTTTTGAACATTTCGTTGATGTTGCAGAGTCAAAAATGCCGCATTCATATTAGTAAGGTTAAAATAATATCCAGTTCTATAATTCGTTAATTATATCCGTGACAGTGTAGCAAAAATTATCCATAAACAACGTGAGATCTAGTAAAAGTGTCTGATTGTCTAAATTTCCACAATTTACATCAGCGTAGAGAGTCATTCATGAACAACGTCGAAGCTGGGGCACTTGTGCTTCTTTAAAAGTTTTCACACCACATCAGTACAACGGCATCAAATTATCAAGATAAATAATGGGGTAGTAGATGTGGTAACAGTTCTTGCGTTAATAGGAAATATTAATTGCAGAATATACAATTCTATAAGGAAATACTAATTCGTGGGGTAGTAAAAAATTTAAGACAATTCGCAAACTTAGTATCCGAAGAAACAGAAAGAAAAATTACTAATTTGAGTAACATATGAGGGTAAGTAACATCAACTTCATTGGGAGTCTAAATATTAAAAATTTAACTCAGTAAGAATAAATGTGGTCAAGAGTGAAATATAGAATATGATACAAAACGCAAGGTTTACAAGGTAAAGAATAAATGTAGATACTATTGTTTGGCAGCCTTAACTATTATACTGTTCTACTTAATTTGCATTAATTCACCCATTATTTCAGATACCTTCTGAGTATTCAATTGAAATACAGTGAAGTATTCATTTTTCATTGTCAGCCAAATCCAATGCTTGCTAGGGATACCCATACACGAGTAGATGGCACATAACGATGAATAAAGTTTAGTGGCCAGTAACATGTGCTCATTTGTTAGATAATCTTAACATTCCTATGGGGTTATAGCTCAGTTGTAATGGTACTTGATTTCGAATTGCCAAACTGCCTGTCTAAACCTTTCTTCCTATGCTTCATTTTGGGTGCCCCGTTGGTATCTACATTCTTCATAATAGCAGCTATGACCTAAAGATTAATATTTGTACTTATTTACAGATTCTAAAATGCGAATAAATATTGTTAATGTTTTTACCAAACATATATAGCCGTGCGTAGTTTCATTCCATACTCTTATAAATGTAAATATAAATTTTTATTTTCCAAAAACGGCCATCATTTTTTAACTTACTGGTGATGAGTGTTGATTTGTCAATTATTTTGACACATGTAAGTTAAAAAAGATCTATCGTAACGGATTTATTTGTAGGAATATTTAGAATAAATGTGTACTGACTTTTGTTAATATATAATACTGATGACCAATAACTGAATATGTTTCGTTTTAAATGTGCTTATCGTTTTCACAGGAATAGCTGCTGTAACTACAGCTGGCATTGGTTTGATGTGGAATTCTACATTTTCTAAAATATACTTTCCGTTAGACCTCGGTATTCGTTGGTTTCCTACTGTTCGAAGAAGTGGTGCCTTGATTACAATCACACCAAGTGTTATACGATTTATTACAACTACATTGAGTGCAATTAGTGCCTCTGCTGCAGGATTATACTCATTGTTTTGGCAATGGGATCCATGCTGTAAGTATCAAGTTGCACCATCGCTAGCATCTCTGCCAGTTGGAACAGCTTCCTTTGTAACAAGTAGTAGTCATGCATTGACGAATTCACATCCAGATGATAATTCGCCAGGCAGCGGAATGAGCAACGGTGAAAGCCCCAGTGGTTCTTCGGAAATGAGCAATGGAAAGCGTGCTCGAGCTATCATTGCAGAGAATCATTCCAATTCAAATAGTCCTCCATTACGTCCAGTGGTTTTAGTTCATCGAGATGATGGAAGACGAAAAATACTGCATAATGCCGTCTCTCTAACCTCTACTCTAGTCGCTTGTTATATTCTTTTTAGATGGTCTAGACATTCAAATATGATTGTTAGTAACCCTTAATTTTATTGTATCTTTCTCCATCATAGTCTGTCTGTTTTCTTATGTGTAATAAACAAACTAACCTCTTTCTACCGATATGTAGAGAACAATTTCTTCCTTTTAGATTATTTTTTTCCCTAAAATCTGCGTTACAGTATCCTGTAGTTTCATAATATTTTTAACTGTCGTGTACTATAAGTATTTTAGCAAGCATTTTTACAGTCCATATATTTATTTTTTTGCCCTTGTATCCATGTTAGTATGGATTTAATTAGATCACTTTTTCGTTATAAAAAATTACTATTAGTACCGGTCTCTTATTATTTCTATAGTGAGAATCACTTATTCCCCTCCTTTTATCAGTAAAAGGCTCACATGCCAATTAAATTGTAAATGTATTATCTTCATAACAACTCTCCACATAACAAAATTGAATCTTTCTTGTGTTTCTTAGTTTTTATGAACTACTTGAAAGATTTTCAGTTTTATGCTTACATTTCAATGTTCGGCCACCAAATATCGTGGTTTTTCTGGCTGTATCGATTAAAAGCACTATGTAAGTATATTGTTTGTAAATGTTGCAATCACAAATTTGATAACAGTTCGGTCCTTATAGCGTACGCTTAATGATTTGTACAAAAATATTAGTACTAACGAAGAACGACAGGGTTTGCAGACAATATTATCAATTTATTGTGTTCTCTCCAGTTACATTTATGACAGTAAATTGAATTATTAACATATTCGGAAATTCAGATACGAATCATTCAATAAATTGTCTGGGAAAAAAGAGGTAGAACGCTATTTGAAGGTGAAAAATAACTCTGAAGGAAGATTTTTCATCAACTGAGGTGATGTTTTTGAAATATTCGGATAGATGGTTCCATTATGCCTTGTAATCGGATTTCTAAAAACAGGTTGGTAAGAAAAAATGACAGATATTTCAAAATAAGTTCACTGAACTGAAATCGTAGTTAAGAGAGGAAAGGACTTGTATTGTTTACTGCTATTATTAGAGAAACTAAAGTTTAACAACTAATATCGTTTCTAAATCGCTAATAACTTCAGTGAATATAGTAGAATTTTTCTCGCTACTGATAATTTTGAATACTTATTATATCGATCGTATATGATGGATGGTACCATATCGAGCTATGATACCATTTGGTCCAATGTGAGAAAGGTTCTTTTAATACGCTAATTGATGCCTCGATATTCCTTCTCTTGTACTTCTCTCTCTCTCTCTCTATATATATATATATATATTTCACAGGTTGAAATCATGAGTCAGTTGAAGCTAGACCACCATTGAAAACCTAGAAGCACTGGACGGCCGTTTCGTCCTGGTATGGGACTCCTCAGCAGTGCGCATCCACGATCCCGCACCACGCAGGGCCCGAACCCAGGACCTACTGGCTCAGTGGTCTAGTGGTTAAGTGCTCGCGCGCGAAGCCAGTAGGTCCTGGGTTCGGGCCCTGCGTGGTGCGGGATCGTGGATGCGCACTGCTGAGGAGTCCCATACCAGGACGAAACGGCCGTCCAGTGCTTCCAGGTTTTCAATGGTGGACTAGCTTCAACTGACTCATGATTTCAACCTGTGAAATTTCTAAAATTCTCCACAAAACCCATTCTGATAATATATATATATATATATATATATATATATATATATATATATATATATATATATATATATTATCAGAATGGGTTTTGTGGAGAATTATATTAGATGAGTTATATATTTTCCTATCTTTATTATTATTATGTTTGTTGACGTGGAGATATACTCACGTTCTAGTTAGGCCAGTCACGTGTCCTTAATCCAGGTTGTGCTGACGTCCTGTCGAATAAACACTGGGAGAGTATATAGTGTAGATATTTATCTAAACTAAATTAACGTACCATTTGTGTGGGAGAAAACCGGACGTTGTATATATATATATATATATATATATATATATATATATATATATATATATATATATATAACTATCGGTGATGGTTGCGGTATTTGTCAAAGTCTCACCTCCATAGATTAGAACTGTCTTGACGTTCGTATTGTAGATTCTGATTTTGATATTGGTTGACACTTGTCTTGGGTTCCATATGTTCTTCAGCTGTAGGAACGTTGCCCTTGATTTGCCAATCTTTATCTTTACGTTTGCATCGGATCCTCCTTGTTCGTCGATGATGCTGCCCAGGTAAGTGGAGCTTTCCACATGTTCCATAGTTTATCTATCAATTATGATTGGGTTGGTGCTCTCTGTTACATTTGAGGATCTTGCTTTTTCCTTTGTATATGTCAAGGCCTACTGATGCAGAGGCTTCTACTACACTGGTTGTCTTGACCTGCATTTGTTGGTGTGTATGGGATCGAAGGGTCAGGTCATCTGTGAAGTCCATATCGTCTAGTTGCATCCAAACTGTCCATTGTATATGTCTGTGTGAGATTACCGTGATTTCGTAGGTTCTACGAAATAAAATGAATTCATGCTATTCTGCTAGAATCTTTGTTCTTGCTCTTTTCAAAATGATAAAGGGAACTATGTGTATGAAAAGATGTCGACAGTGGGTAGGGTCTAAATAGGTATCCAGAAACTGGACATGTATGATCAATATATTTAGGCATCTTAGACCAACTATTAAGTTTAGCTTTGAAAGAGGATTCGTCTACAATTTGTATACTGTTCAAGTCATTTATGTGTTCATTAGTTGGAAGTTTGATGGTATATAAAGTCATATCAAATAATTTAAATATTTCTCACACTTACACGATTATAATAAATTTCTTATGTATGATGGCGAAGTATATTCATACAATTTACAATTAAATGTTTTACTTCTGGAATACTAATAGTGTACACAATCCAACAATTCTGCAACCGAAACTCATCTCTATTGCATATATTCTTGGGAAATCCTTCATTTGGAAATCAATTTAATTCATGATTTTATTTTAAGCATATACAATTAATAATCTTTGTGGTTAATCAAGTCAATGAAATTATAAAAATAACCAATACATCATCTTCATGTATTTATTTTGCTAAAAGTACTAATTGATTAATTCAACAAATTATGATCTTTAATGTTGATCAGTTCATATTATTTTCGTATTGTTCATTAATTAAATGTAGAATCCTATTTTATGGAATCTGAATTAACTTAACATAATAAAAGGAAATTAATTTTAAATTAACCTAATAATTTAGGTTACGCATATCTAGTTATAATCCCTTACTTCCAATAATGAAATTAGAAATGTTCTAAATTCAATTAACCCTTTTCCTCATTAATAGAAGTTCATGAAAATCTTCAAGATTGTTAGCTATTAAAAATTAATAAATCTAGTTTAATTCATATTAAGCATTCTTGTTGCGGAAAGCATAAACCTTATTTCTAAAATTAACATAATACATCTAGTTAATATAGTTTATTATGGTCAACAGATACTCATTATGGATTGTAAATATACTGCTTTGTATTTATCACTTATGTTGTATGAGAACTATCGATATTATTTGATCACCCATCTTTATGTCTAGTGTGAACTTTATAATAAGAAATTTTGAACAAGTCGATATAAAGTCAGATAATATTACCAAAACGAAGATGTTTTCTAAGATTCTATAGTCTAGAGATTTCGTTTATGTACTACTATTGGCTTCTTAATTTATTAGAAGATACATTTTAATCATAAATAAATGTGAGTTATTACTATTTTGATGAAAGATATATTTTAAACATAATGAAAATATTCACATGAAACCATATTCAAAGGATTGTGATACAGTGAAATCACAAACAATGGTAATGGAGTGACTCACACTACATTCACTTCAATTCCCTATGACTAAGCTTTTAAGCGACTTGTATGTAAATATAGGCGTGAACGTGATTTCATTAATCAACAGTAAATATTTCTTTAAATAAGCTATACAGATAAGTTAATTTTAGCAGTAAAAATATTTAGCTTTAACAAAAACCAGTTTCTACTGAATATCAAAGACGTATTGTAATTCTGTAATTTAGTAAATTCCACTTTAAATAGTGAATTCAAGTCATATCCTTAATGTGGATAATGACATTTACTAATGCATGTATCACTAAAAACTGTCTACTACTTTAAAATGAGACTTGAACAGCATTCTCATTTTTAATACGGGCTAGTACTTGTGTTTTTCTTAATTTAAAAGAATAAGCTTTAGTCCACTGAGGTTACAGTAGTTTAATGGAGAGGTAATATTCTCACTTATGACATTAAGAGGTAAATAATACGATGTTACAGACTCAAACCAGGGACTCGATGTTAACAAGCTTTTCAGAATACTAGATCTTAGATCTATTTATTTATTTAAAATACATAGGTGCTGGTGCAACTGGGCCCCAAAATAAATATGCATCACACAAATAAGAAAATAGAATCATAAAAAGACAAAGAGAGGTGAGAAAGTATAACCAAAATAAATGGGAGAGAGCGGTATATAACAGGATAGATAATTTATTTAGAAAATACAACCAGGAATAATTCTTTCAGTAAGACAAGTTCTCACTCCTATAAACCGTCATTGGTTTGTGCTCCGAGCCATACCTTATAACATCTAGAATCACTGAGTCGCATATACTTTATGACTTAAACTAGAGTCCCAATTGACTGACAGACGGCAAAGCTGTACAGCTTCCTTCTATACCAAGGTGTCATATCATAAACTGACCACCTCTCAGCTTTTTCCACAAAGTTCAAAATAACGAGATGGTCAGTTTATGAAATGGCCCTACATATTTATCTTTATAGAGGATTGAATTCATGAAACATTCAGGAGTCGAAAAGCAAAGATTTCTTTCAACCCTATGATTATACGTCTTGAGGAGATCACCAAAAAGGACTGAAAACATCTCAAGCAAAAATAATTTATTCAAGGTAAGCCTTGGACTGTAAAAATACCACTAAATGCTATACTGCAACACCACTAAACTCTACATTTTCACACCTTCCATTACACTTATTGTTTGATATTCATTAATCTGAATTTGTCCTAACCAAAGTTACTTGCAAACCATGTTTATCCAGATAACGTAAAATTAGACATTTTTCACAAGGATTACATAGCAATTTATATCTATTTGGTCAAGCTCGTAAACTGTTGTGTAGTGTAGACTAATTTTCAGAATGTAAACTATTATCATTATCATTAGAGTTATTAGAATCCCTTACTGTACCATACATTTACTACCTAATATGGTGATTGTGACTCGATTATATTAAAACCGTCTGTCTTCAACCAAATTCGATACCGGGTGTAATCATCACGAGTCCCATAGTCATAACCAAACTATGAATAACTAATCTTTGACTCCTCTATCTCAAGTCTGACTGATAGGGTTAATACAGTTTTAAATAAACCATTTTGTTGGGACTGTGAACCACTGAATGAAAAGTTTGAAATTAACATGCTCTTCTCACGAGATTTGATGACATAATACAAACAAGTCCTATGTTGTGGAGAGATTGTTACCAAGTCCTGACTGGTTATTACTATTTGTCTAGTTAATCAGTCTGTAGGGAACAATTTCCTACAGGTTTAATTCTGAGCTATTCTCTAGACCGTCGAATACAGAGTCTTGGTTTGACCAAAGTCAGAACAAGCAAGTTATTTGGCTAGATAAACTTTATCTGTTTCTAAAACATAAATTAACACCGTTAGTGTACAAACAAACTGTACGGTCTATCAATACAGGAAAAAAACAGACAAATAACACACCGAACAGTAGCCAGAGGATAGGAAAAATGAATCAACAAGTAAAATTTTGTTTTACGATGAACATCAAACTGTGATTGGTTAATAAAGAGATACAGTAGTACAAGGTCAAAGGGCGTTAATGTGGTGGTGGGCGTTTCCCTTCATTATTGGTGAGTTCGTCTATCAATCACATTTTACACAGTCTATAATGTAAATATACAAAATGAATAATCTCTAAAATACCTCCTACACTGATCTTACTCAATGTTATTTTATGTACTTTACCTTGTTTTACAAAGTCAGCATGATTATGTATTTGCGTGAGAAATCAATTGCTTTACATTGAATAGTAATCTATAGAAAGTATCACGTAACAAAGTGTCACATCGAAATTTTTATCAAGGTTTAATGAAGTAGTAAAAGACAGGATATAAAGCGATAGATTGTGATATTTTGGTACATCAGTCAACCTAGTAGTTTGATTGCACAAAGAATAGGTGTAGCATCACGGAAACAGCTAGATCATATTGTCTGTTCTGTTTATTTGGTAAACATATGATCACTTACAACTTCGATTGAATGAGATAATGTAAAAACCATGTAATATTCAGATTCAGACTCTCTAAAATCTCTGGAATGTTGGCAGTTTGAACATCCTCTTAAAAAATAAGCCTCAATCCATCAAGGAGGAATACTATAGCTGCAAAAAGCCCTAAGATTGAACTTTAAATAATTCCGTTTCCCAAGTAAAAATGGTTCAAGGCTTGTCAAAAATATGTAATCGAACACCCAAATTATCAAATATATGTATACATAGTCCACTTGTTAACTGTTTACTGAACAAGTTGTCCAATCATGTTAACAGTGTTGAAAGTGAGGCTTGGTGTTGTGTGACGAGTCATTCGGTACAAAAAGTGGAAAGCTTAAAAAAGTAATTCTGGTTTCCGATATCTACAAAATAATACTAAGAACAAAACGGATTAACATTTCGTCACATAAAACAAGCGAGCTTGTCTGAAGGAATACACTGACTTTAGTAGCAGCAGCAAAAATCAAGAAAGCAGGGCGGATTTTAAAAATTCAGCTCCAACACTTAGAGCATTATATAACTTGAGGAATTTCAACGCACTAAAACAATAAATTATGCAGCTATACCAAAAAACAGCGTAAAAATGCAGAACGAGGCAAACCGACCACCGTTGCTTATAAAGATGGCGGCAGTGATAATTCCCGCTTCATTCTGATTGGTCGCCAAGTAGACTATCAAAATTACGAACCGGAGCTGAGTTTAATTCGTCATAGAAACTGTGGAAATAACAGTTGTATGTCTGTATATTTAAATGTGATGTGAGAAAAATTTTTTGAACATATGTCGCCTCAGGGATTGTGATGGAATTCAACCATCTAATAGGATGTATGTATCAGACATGCCACTGGATGCATAAAATGAGAATAAATAAAAAAGTGAGTATAAGTTTACTATTGTACAGTTTAGAAAATAGATTCACCGAAAAGAGAAATCTTCACTGAACCATTTTTTCTTATTTCGAATAAATGTAAGTTTGTGTTGTTGAGTTAGCCAAGCTAATTGTCCATCGTATTTTCAGACCAACTAACTGATTGGACCAAGTGAAAGTAATCGTTGTTGTTCATATAATACGAGCCAGAAATCAAATGTTAAATGGTCAGGCTTGTTTATTAATTATTAGTTGCCATATAACTAATTGTACACCACCTCGCCAATTCATACTG